CCCTCCCTCCAGCTTAATGGAATTGAAGGAGACAAGACTGGCTCCAAAATCAGAGGGCCTAGGCTCAAGTCCTCCCTTTGATGCATGCTACCTATGTGACCCTTGGCAAGTCAGTCAATAAAGACCATTTATTAAGCACCTACTATGTGTGAGATGCAATACTAGGTGCTGGGGATACAAGTACAAGGGAAAAAAAATCCCTACTTGCAATGAGCTTAATTTCTAATGAAGGAGACAACAGGGGTATGTCTATGTGTGTGTATTTAATATATATGTATGAATATATTTACACACACATATACAGTCACACAACCCCACATATATGCATGCACGTGTATACACACATGTGTACACATACATGTAGGTATACATACACGTGTAGAAATATAGATACATAGCATAAATATAAAGTGAATAAATACAAACATATACAAGGTAGTTAGATACAAATAATAATAATATTAGCTAGTATTCACATAGCTCTTTAAGGTTTGCAGAGCACTTTACAAATATCTCATTTTATCCTCATACCTGGGAGGTAGATGCCTTTCCCCATTTTACAGATAAAGAAACTGATGCAGACAGAGGTTGAGTGACTTGCCGAAGGACATACAGCCAGTAAGTATCTGAGGCCAAATTTGAAATCAGGTCCTGCTGACTCCAGGTCCAACCCTCTATCCACTGTGCCACCTAGGCGCCTAAACTGTACAAGATAGTTTGGGGGGAGGGCACTAGCCTCTGAGAGGACCAAGAAAGGTCTCATGCTAAAGGGAATACTTGAACTGCTTCTTAAAGGAAGAGAAGGTCTATAAGGTGGAGGGGATGGGGAAGTCTATTTCAAAAATGAAAAAGGCACCAAGATGGGAAATAGTGTCACATGTAAAGAACAGAGAGAAGACCAGTTTTTGTTGGCTTGCATAATGTAGGAGGGGAAGTAAGATCTACAGTGAATTTATGAAGACAGGTCTGGTTATGAAAGGCTTTAAAAGGTAAATAGAAAAGTTTATATGCTAGATGCAATAGGAAGTCATGGGCCTCAGTTTCCTCATTTGTAAAATGAAGGATTTGGATTAAGGTAACCTCTGGAGTCTCCTCCATCTCTATATCTAGGATCCTAATTCATCCCCTGTCTTTCCCCGGCCAACTATTTTGCAGATGAAGATCATTGGAGAATTTTTATTTTTCTTCCTGAATAGTGTTTCTCTCACTCTCTCTCTCTCTCTCTCTCTCTCTCTCTCTCTCTCTCTCTCTCTCCCTCCACCCCTGCCCCTTTTTCATTCATTCAAAAAGATGAAGGACTATCTCTGACTCTTGAGATGAGGGTTAGGGTAAGAACAGAGAGGAGTCAGAGGACTATAGATGGGGAGGGAACCTATTCTAGATCTCTCATTTAAGAAACGTGAAACCGAGGTCCAAAGAGAAATGACTTCACCAAGGTCACACAGAGAGTACATGGCAGAGCTAGGATTGGAATCTAGCTCCTCTGACTCCCAAGTCAGCCCTCTCTCCACTGCTCTGTAGGGGACAGGGCATTGCAAAAATAATTTCCTCTCCTTGTATTTTGTGTTGTCTCAGAACAGCCCTGATTGAGTCAAAGTCCTTTCCTTGCGCTAGGACATATGTAACATCCAATAGGGGTTTCCCCAGTGATGTATTGGACATGACAGAGCTAACTGCGAGGGAGAAATAAAAAGCAGGAACGGAACTCACTCGGCTTGGGTTTCAGCAGCAAATGGTTCTGAGTGTATTTAAATTGGATTTTAATCTGAAGGGAGTGAGGCCCATACCAGAGAACAATAAAAGTATAAACACAGCAAGCCAGTCCAGGTGTTCCATGGGAAAGAGAAAGGGGTACTTCTAGGAAGCTAGAAAGGCCAGACTGGGGAGTGATGATGGCTCACAGCTCCCAAGCAGGCCCTTGTCCTGCAGGAGGGGAGGCCCCAAGCAATCTGTTCCCTTTTGCAAAGCTATAACTACCCCAGGGAGCTGCTGTCTCTGTTATTCATCAGCTCTGCAATGCCTCCAACACAGAGGATCAGATTTCCTGGGACTCCCATCCTGGTGCCTGCTCTCGCCTTTTCTTTGCATAAGGAAAGGCCCCCTCTGAACCATGAGCTCATCGATTTTTCCTAGGGCTCGACCAATTGCCTCTTGCCAGATGCTTCTCCACTCAGGTCCAGGCTTGTGCCACCCAAAGTCTGATAACACCTGGCTGCGCTCTCAGCCCCTTCGCTGATTTCTGATGTCTCGGGTAGCCTTCCAAGCAGAGCGGTTGAGATCATGTTTGTACTTCAACTTCACCCCACCCTGCCTATTTGTTTTTAAGACAGCCTCCTGAGCCCCTTGGGATATATCTGTGTCTTCTCATGCCGAGGTGTTGGGTTGAACAGGGTTAGATCTTGGTAAGAGTTTGAAGGGAGGGAAATGGGACTTTGACGCCCCTCCCCCTGACTTCCCTCTGTGAGCATGACTCTCGCTTCCTGCCACCTCCTCTCCCTCCTTCCTCCCTCACCCACCCCTTTTTGCATCTGCTTTGAAAATCAGAGAATCTGGGTTCAAATCCTGTCTCTGCTATTTACTGCCTATGTCACCTAGCGCAAATCACTTTCCTTTCCCATGGCCTCATTTTCCTTATCTGGAAAATGAAAGGTTGAACCTGGGGACCTCTTAGGTCCTCACCAGCTCTAATTCTTTCTTCCTAAGGTCTCTCTGGCTAGCTAAAGCCCTCCCTTGAGGCCTGCTCTCTCGCTGGGGAGGGTTTTAATTTTGCATTTTATATGAAAAGTTCTGTGACTTTTCCTCCCTGCCATGGATTTCAGAGGTCACTGGGTCATAGCTCTGGAAGCTCCCGGAGCCTCTGAGACCACCTATTCCAAGCCCCTTGTTTTACAGATGAGGAAATCGAGGCAGAGAATAGTTAAGTAACCTGCCAGATCGTGTCATTTCTACTCTCACAACATCTCTTCTGCATGTCCTCTTCTCTTCATTCACCCTGGTTCAAGCCCTCATCTATCACCTCTTGCCTGGACTTTAGCAATAACCTTCTTACTTGGTCTCCGTTCAAGCCAACCTCCATTTATTCAGCTGCCAAAGTGAGGTTTTTTTAAAGCAATGGCATCAAATTCAAGTGGAAATGGGGACCACTAATCCATACATATGTTGTTCCTCTCATTAGAATGTAAGCTCCTTGACAGCAGAGGCTGGGTTTTTGTTTGTTTGTTTTTTTTTTTTCATCTCCAGAGTTTAACACAATGCCCAGCACAAGGCAAATACTTAATAAAGACTTGTTAACTGACTGAGTGGCTGGCCCAGGTCACAAAGAGATAGTTGATGGGCAGACCTGGGACTCAGAACCCAGGTCTCCTGACTCCCAATCTGGTGCTTCTTCCATCATACCAAAGCTTCTTTCCCATCTACACTTCTTTAAAATGATATTTTTGCAGATAGCTTGTGGTTTTTTTTTATATCACCATTATCTTCTAATATATCCCTCCCCTTCCCTTTCTAACTACACATTCCTTTTAATAAAGATTTAAAAAGAGAGAGGGAAAAAAAACCATTTCAGCAAAACTTACCAACATATCGATCATGTCTGTCGATGTAATATTCCACATCCACAGTCCCCCACCTCTGCAAATAAGGGAGGGGAGGTACATTTTCTCAGCTCTTCTCTAGGGCCAATTTGTAGATCATCTATTTGTAAGATGAAGGGGGTGGTGTGGGGTGATGTTGGAGATTGGACTGCTAATATTTGATGACTTTTAAGTTTCCTTCCAGTTCTAAATTTATGAACCTATGATCTGAAAAAGGCACAAAAGGATTGTGATGTGCATTAGTGGAGTGAAAACCCACACCAATTAAGTCCTGTGGAAAACTGAAGTAAAATATGTTTGTGTATAATTTGATGAATTGTTTCTTGTTCCGGGTGCCCCCAAAACAAGTTACACTATGGAGGTAATTGATCATAGGTTGGCCTAGCTGGTCAGAAAACTTGCCTTTCAGCTTGAAGAAAGTTCTTTTGAGGGAGTGGGTCACATTCTGCTTTTGGCTAAGTTTGTCCCATAGATTTTACCAAGAAACACCCTGAAAGGGTCATGTTCCAGGGTCAGAGGTCCAGGTCCAGTTGCACTAGGGCCAGTCTTTGTTCCTGGAGCTCAGGAACCCTAGTGACTGCACCCTATGGGTGACTGAGGATTAGGTAGGAGAACTCGTTTGCATCGAGGCCAGGCTTCTCCCAGGAAACCAGATCCTCTGAAGGTGAGTAATTGCAGAGAGGCCGACTCAGGTTGTTTGAACATATTCTGCTTCGGGGTTGAGCTACTTAGATGAAATCTGAATCGGTTGCACTTGTTAGTGTAAATAATGCCTGATCTGTTTGCCCAGTTGCACAGGTTCTATTTGTATAGTAGTGAACCTGCCGGCACTGTTTCGACTGAGCATACTACTCTTCCTTCGAGTTGGGACTCTACCTGGGGCTTATCTTCCTGGTTTATCACAGGTGGAGGTTTGCTTTTCCCCGGAGAGTACAACAGCTGCAAAAACTACCCCAGTGGCAGTCAGTGGGCTGGTCTGCAAAGCTAAGCCATAGCTGGGCATGAGCAAACCTAGATTTTTGGAACTTTCAGCTGGAAGGGAAACTGAGAGCTAGAATCCAGGCCACACAACTCCCGGTGCTTTCTTTCTTCCCTCATTTATGATATCAGCTTGTTTATAACCTTACTTTTTTTCTGATTTGTTTTTTCAGATACCCCATTTTTTTGGCCAGGCACTGACTCTAATCCTATTCTAGCCTAGGCTTTGCTACTAACAAGCTCATGACCTTGTGGAAATAATTTCCCTTTGCTGTGACCCCAGTTTTCAGTTTTCTCATCTGT